TTTGAAATATTTCTCCACAAAAGAATGGATATTTACTAATGATCGAGTACGCGAGATGATTGCAAAGTTCACGTCCAATGATCGTAAAAACTTTGATTGCGATATAAAGAATATCAATTGGAAAGTTTACTTCAAGATGTATATACGAGGATTGAGAGTGCATCTCATTAAGGATCCCCTGGGTACTCTGCCGCAAGCACGCGTTAAATGGCAAAGGTATGACATTTTCAAAATTTTTCAAAAAATTATGCAAAAGTTTTTCTTTACTCATATACTCGATAATAAACTAAAAAATAATCGTTTAATTTTTATTTGCTTTTATGAAAATTTATATACATTTATTTCCGAATCCCAATTATGACAAAAATTCGTTCCATAAAAATATTGCAAAATTTTTTGTGTTCAATTTGAACAGAATTTAAGTCATATTTTTGAAACTTTATTTTACATTTCTGCGTTCTTCATAAATATAATATTAAATTTAGTACTATATGCTTAATTTTTATTATCCAATTAAAAAAATATATATCTAAACTTGTTGATTATTCATGTTACAGATTGTATTGGTGCCATCAAGCGTTAAAACTCGTGTTAACTTTGATCGGCATGACGTTCTGCTTGTTAATCATATCTATGGTCTTTAAATGTTTCAACGAAAACAAATGACGCAGGGACGGTGCAAGTAGTAGATAAGATCTTAAATCCAAGATATGCGTTTTGAAAATGTGGGAATAAACAGTAAAAATTAATATTTTATTTTTAAGAAAAAAAGCACGACTACATTCTCTCGCAGAGAATTGAATTGAAAATAATCGTCATAATTATATGTTGCGACGACTTTTCCGTCGGACAGAAGTTACCCGCCGGTAAGCGTGTCAAACCTCGTTGCTCTATTTAATTGAGTTATTAATTACTGCAATACTTATAGTTGGGCGCCGGGCGCGGATTAACGCGCCGCACAAACGAATACGTTAGAGTTCATATTTTTATTAATGAGCAACGGCGATAAGCGCGACTAGCCCGCTTTACAAATGGCAGAGGGGCGAGGTTCTTTAGAGATGCTAAATACCGATTTGGAGAAAGGAGTCTAAAATAGATGGTTATCAAGAACACATTAATTGATAACAAATAACATTTAATTCTAGTAATTAGATCAAGTGAGATTGACGCCGGGTGATAGACGTCTTAACCATCCCGCGAAGGGGAGATATCACCCGAGTCGAAATTTTTAGCCTAGATTAAAGCTACAAGTTTTGTCGAATTTGGAGAACCAATGTAAGCTTTAATTCATATATATAGATATAACATTACATTGGCTATTGCCCTCCTTTGATACTAAAAATTGTTACTTATTGCCGTTTTTTCCATGTGGAAGCTCAAAAGAGTATCTACTGAGAACCTCTAAAAAAGGCTTCAGGTTCTATAAATATGTATTCCTAGAAAATAAATATTCAAAATTACTTAATAATCTATTATCTCATATACTCTACTTGCATTTAATGTATCTTTGATTTTCAATAAACAATATATTAATTATTATAATTTGCTTAACTGTAAATAGGCTACTATAAGCAAATATTATATAAATAATATTCACTTATCTCTTACATATCTATCTGCAG